ATTGAATTGTAACCCAAAGAACAAAAGAAATACTCATGAGACCATACCAATGTAAATAAATGATTGCATAAATAAATAATTGGAGAAGAAAGTATAAGTGGTACAAAGAACAAGGAAAATTGAAAATGACCTTTAAAACATCACAGTAATAACTGCTGCAGGCAAGATCCACTGAGGCATGCTAAAAGTGAAGCTTTAGTATTTTATTTGTAAAAAAGCCCCCCAAACTCCTCTAAAATAGTAATTATTGTGGTGGTTTTAACATATGTCCACAAATTCTTTGCTACTTCTCCCTTCAGAAGGTGAAGCTTAATTCTGTTCCCCTTGAATGTGGACTGAATTTAGTGACTTGCTTCTAACAAACAATATGGAAAGAGAGAAACCGTAACTTTACAGTGAAGAAATGTGGCACACTCTACATTAACCAATGCATCAGGGTTAACATCACCAATAATGAGACAGTCACATTACATACCTCCTCTTATATGATGTGATGACAAAGACACTAATGTGCTATTCTTCTCATGACAATTCACAACCTTAGTCTAATCATTAGAAAACATTAGACAAACCCAAATTGAGAGTCATTCTAAAAATACAGAACCTACTAACTTTCAAATGTGTCCAGGTGATAAAAGACAAGGACTAGGAAAAGTCACGGATTGCAGGAGACTAAGAAAACATGACAAATAAATGCAGCGTGTTATTCCAGACTGAATCCTGGAAAATAAAAGGTATATTGGTGGAAAGTGTAATTAATAGTATTGTAACAATGTTAATTTCTTAATTTTCATAAGGTACTGTGGTTATACAAGAAGTTTACATTAAGGGAAACTTGGTGAATGATATGAGAACTCTATGCTACCTTTGCAACTCTTCTCTAAGTGTAAAATTATTTCAAAATAAAAATAAAGTTGCAGGGGAGAAATCAGGTCACCTACAGGAAAAAAAAAAAAATAACAAACCTCTTGTTGATAAAACATATGAAAGAAAACAACAGAGCTGTGACAATGTTTTAAGAGAATATAATTTTCAATCTAGATTACTGTATTAGTCAAACAACCAAATTAAGCAGAAAGACAAAATAAAGAATTCTTTAAACAAATTTACTTCCCCATACTTTTTGTATTTCAGCACTTCAGCACGTTTTCCAGCAATGAAGAGAGTAGACTAAGAAAAATGAAAACATGAGATCTTGAGAACCAATATGAGATCCAAATGAACAGAGAAGAAAAATCTCAAGGTAATACCCGTGCAACAGGTCTACAGAAGAAACTGTTCATTTTCATTAGAAAGATGGAAGGTTCCAGAAAAAAAGGAAAATGTGAATGGAATCCACATTGTTCTTAAAAACTTGAAATAACTAAAGATTATTTCAGGTAAAGTTAAACAATACAAGGAAAAAAAAAGACATAGTCTAACTCTATTGGAAACAGAGTGGTGAGTTAAGAGAGAATGTCTGGCCTGCACACAGTTTTTCAAAGGAATCTTAATGTCTTCAGATGGTGCAAAGTGAAGTAAATCTTCAATTCTATATGAAAGAACTCAATAGAATCAAATATTGATAGACCAATAAATAACAGCATATAAGTATATGATTTAGATACGTGGCAGTCATCCTAGAAAGAACAAAAAAGCAAAAAATAGTTAAAATAATTAGGTATGATTTTCTCTGGAAAGCAGGACAGGGGTGGGGCAAACAGCCTCCTTACTACAGTAAGCTCTTCTGTGATTTTTAAATACCATACGCATGTATTGTTTTGAAAACCTTTTAAAATTTTTTAAAAAGCAAACAGATCACTACTTTCAGGAGTGAATACAAATAACTCCATTCATTCATAGCCAAGTCAGTAAGTTTCTATTTATAGTAGTGGTTAGACATCAAATAAAGCATAGTTCTTGCTATGAATGGTTAAGGCTTTCAACTTAACATATTAAATGCTTAATCAATACTTATTTCAAAATATATTTTTCATATTCTTTTAGACAAATTTAACAAACACTTAGGATTTACTGTGTTAAATCTTTAAAAGTAACAATGTTAAGTATAGTGATATTAAACTTAATATTTTTTAGTGTCAACCTGTTTTAATTAAACAATTTTATGTATATTTAAGACGTCTGAACCACTGAAAGTAAGCTTAAAGTATATTCGATTATGAATTGTCAATCCAGTAGATGATAACAATGGTGTGAATCTTTTTTTTTTAAAGATATGCCCCAAATCATAACATGTGGTTTTGAAGTATATGTATATATAAATTATTGAATAAATTTGCTTTGTGCATCTGCAAGTGTGTGGATGTGTAAGAGAGAGGGACTTTACCAACTCATCATTTCTCAGACAAAATGATGCAATCATTTTGTAAGGTTCCAAATCAAACAAAGCAGCAAATATTCTTAGCTTTCCTAATTTATCCCACTGCTAATCTGGGGTGGAAACACTACATCCTTTCATACAGACATAAATAGTAGAGTATTTTTCTAAAACAGATGTCAACAATTGGTATGGCATTAACTTTTAATCAATCATATTTGAAAACGTCAATGGTGTGGTACAATGCTATACAGAAAGAATTCAAATTATCTTTTTTAAAATTAAAATTCATAGCTTTACTATAATGCTAACTTTTTCAGGGATTGCAACGCTATACTAACACAGGGTGAGCATTCCTAATACAAAAATCTAAAATCCAAATTGCTCTAAAATCTGAAACTTTTTGAGTGTTGACATGATTCCACAAGTAGAAAATTCCACACATAAGTACTTAATACAAACTTTGTTTCACACATAAAATTATTAAAAATATTGTATAAGATCACCTTCAGTCTATATGTATAAGGTACATATGAAACACAAATGAATCCCCAAAGTATTGCACTGTGTACACGCAAAATCTGAAAAAATCCGAAACCCAAACATTTCTAGTCCCAAGCATTTCAGATAAGGGGTACTCAATCTGTACTCATTTGTATTACTACTTTATGTGTATATCAAATTAACTTTATATTTACCATTTTTAATAGATTTCATAATTTTTCTTTTCTAATACTACTTTCTAATCTTAAAATGCAGCTAATTTCTATGCCAGTGTTGCTGTTAGAACAGAATGAAATCATATATTCAAAATATTTGACTATAATATAGCAGCTAATTTAGAAATGTCAGTTTGATTCCTCCTTTTGTGCCACATGTATCTTGGTACAGGTTTAAAGTATAATTCAATAATTTATTGAAATTAATTTATTCAATAATGAAATACTGAGTCCCAAATTCTAAATATTCTGAAAAGGGTAGATGTTCTGGGGGAAAAAAAAAAAGAAAAAGAGAGAAAGAAAAAGAGAGAGAGAGAGAGAGAGAGAGAAAGGAAAGAAAGAAAGAAAGAAAGAAAGAAAGAAAGAAAGAAAGAAAGAGAAAGAAAGAGAAAGAAAGAAAGAGAGAAAGAGAAAGAAAGAAAGAAAGAAAGAAAGAAAGAAAGAAAGAAAGAAAGAAAGAAAGAAAGAAAGAAAGAAAAGAAAAGAAAGAAAAGATTGCCCAACCAGAAGTTGAGACTTAATATAAAACCACAGTTATTAATATAGTAAGGGCACTGGTGTAGGAACTGGCAGATAGATAAACACTTCAAAATACAGAAACCAGAAATTGAACCACACTTAAAAGAGACATTATGTAAAAGAGGACAATCAATAGAGACAGAACGGGCTATTTAAGAAATGGTTTTCCATATGGAAGAAAAATAAAATTATACCCTCATTTCATTCCATCAACAAAAAGAATCTTGAGCTGATAAGACTAGCAATAGTCCTTTACTGAAAGGGAAAAGTATAACCTGCAAATCATATAAATAAGGAAAACCTCTGAAAGAAAAATGAGAACCAGAATAATAAACAAAGCCATAAATGACCAATATACATATGAAAGATGCTTAATCTCATGGATAAACATGAAAAACGCAAATTTTTAAAATGAGAAACAATTTTAGATTGACAAAAACTTTCAAGGCCTGACACTACTGGGTACTGGTGAGCACAAAGTGGAAACTATCAATCATTCCTAGTGAAATAGCCACTGTAGAGACTCTTTAGCCATTACCTAGCAAAACCAAACATATACATTCTCTATGATCCAATAATTTCACTTCTCATACATGTTCTCATCATCTAAGTCTGTGATAGCACACACACACAAAAACCCTAGCAATAACCTCAAACAGTATGGGAATGAATACAGTGTGGTAGACTCATGTGATAAAATATTATGTAGCAGTTCAAGGAAATACATATATGCAAATATACATATATGTACAAACTTATAGATATCAAAACAAGTGAAATTTATAATTCTGCAACATTGTAACATTTCATAATATACACAAAACATTTTATATGTAGATCCATTAATCATACACAAAAGAGTATAAAAAGTGTACGTAAAACTTAGACACATTAGACTTATAGTAGCTGTAGTCTTTGAAAGGTGAAAGGGTAAAGATGATGTTCACTTTACAAGTGCTTTGCTTTATTTAAAACAAAACCCAGAAAATATAATATTAACAACTGTCCATTCTGAGTGAGGGTTGTTAGACAGATGTTTATTATACTATTCTTGACACTGGTGAATTTTCTGGACTTGTTTAAAAAAAAAAAAAACTAAATGAAAGTCCCTATTAAGATCATAATTCAACTCTTTTCACCTATTTAAACACTTATGAAAAATAATGTAGTATGATTTCAACATGCTAAGAATACAATATAAACAAATGGAATAAATTCTCAGTCTCATAAATATGCTGATAAAGTTTACAAAAAGTAGAATAAAATGTATCTCAGAAATGAGGTTAAAAAGGTTCATCTTAAACATCTTCCATATAACTGCTAAAGTAAATGCCTTCTCCTCCATTTGCATATTTCCAATGTGATAGCTAAACTATCACTAAAACTAACATGTAAAAACTGAAGAAATAAGTAAAAAGTACAAGTCCTAAAATAAACCAACTAACCTGTATGGGTTCTTCTATGTCTCTGGAGCTCATCACTCCTTGTGAATCTTTTGCCGCAAAACATCCAGTTGCATATAAAAGGTCTTTCTCCAGTATGCCAGCGAAGATGTGCTCGTAAATGAGATGTTTTGCCATAAACTTTACCACATCCTTCAATATGACAGATATGTTGCTTCTTTTTTCCTGGTTCATTACTGCCTCTGGCAAAAAGAAAAACCAAACATTAATTATACTGCCAAATAACAGACTTACAATTACAGGAGAATTAGAAAGAATCAAGGTAATTAAATGGTACTTCTCTGAATAGGTTTGTTGGATCATGATGCCATAACTGTAGCTAAAATCAGAAAATTTTCAATTAAAGAAAAAACAAAACAGGTCTGTGTACCAAACTGCTACGAAAATGTGTTAACCTCACCGAGTTTATGCTCTACTGGACTCATGTTCCTTTCATAGTGGGCTCTTCCCTTGGGAAAAAATTTCTCTAAGCCTTTCAAAACACTTGAAACTTCTCTAAAATTTCAAAAGGATGGCTAAATCCAGTTAGAAGTGTAAGATGCAGAGTTTCGTTTCCAGCAGGACAGTGTGAAGAGTTTCATGGATGTTTCCCAGAGAAAATTATAAAAAAGTAAAAAATACCATTTAAAGTCTCTGGAAATGGTCCTAAAAGCAAATAAAGAAACATTTATTCAAGAAAATCTCACAGAAATTGGTAAGAACAGTACAAGTCTGTGGTATCTGAACCAAGACTCTCTCCTTCCCTACTTCCTCCCACCTCCACACAGGAACATTAGACACTGGTGCAGCCAAGAATATGATTCCTACTCTTCCCACCTCCCGGTCAGAGAGCTATGGCCCTAGGAGGGTCAAGATATCTGCATTTCTTATTTTACTCTTGGTTGCCTGTTGCTAAGTTCCAGGCAAGTGTAGCAGAACCCAGTCCTTAGCCCTGGGACATAGGCTCTACTTTGGATGTGGCATGATGAAAATACTGGAGTCTAGGTTGCCGTTGACCTGGCCCATTCATAGTTCATAAAGTCAAAGTTCTAAGCCAGGAGAGGCCAGTTGAGAAGACCTGAGGCTATTGCTGCCCCTGCAACCAGGCACTCAGCTCTTAAAGGAGAGTTGTCACTCAGAGAGAAATGAGCCACTGTCTCAACCTCTAGCTCAAGAGCCATAACCCAGAAACACCATAAAACAAAGAGCTCCAAATCTCTTCCCAAAGGAACTGACTTCATTTGCAAGACAATGTGAAGAAGTTCAAGCCTAAGGGTACTCTCAAAAAAAGTACAGATTGTTCCAAAGGCAGTTAATTGGGAGAAGATGAACAGATTCACTGGAAATAAAGGCTTAACTACAGGCTGGCTAGTTTGCTAGACAGAAGTGAGAAGAGGCTGTGAAGAACCTTCTTAGGGTCAGAATAAATGTCAAACATCGAGATTCTTGGGAAAAGTAAGCAAAACTAACAAACTAACAAGCTAGACTGACCAAGAAAATAAGACTCTAATTATTAGAATCAGAAATCAAAGAGGAGATATCACCACCAACCTTACAGAAACAAAAAGGATTGCAAAAGAATACCATGAACAATTCTATGCCAATTACTTGGGTAACTCAGATGAGATGGACAAATTCCTGGAAAAATATGGACCAAAATACTAAAACTGACTCAGGAACAAATAATCAATCAGAATAAACCCACAACAAGCAACTAGACTGAATTAGTAATTAAAACTACCCATATGAAAAGCCCAAGAACAGACAGCTTCACTGGTAAATTCCACAAAACAGTTTGGAGGGAATACTTTCCAATTCATTCTATGAGGCTGGTATTATTATCAAAATCAGATAAAAACATTACAAAAAAAGAAAACCACAGACGTATCTCTTATGAATATGGATGCAAAAAGCCTCAAAAAAAATACAAGCACACTGTCAACATTGTACCAGAGGTTCCAGACAGAGAAATTAAGTAAGAAAAAGAAACAGAACTCCTGCAGTGTAGAAAGGAAAAAGTAAAAGTTATCTCTGTTCACAGATTCCATGACCTCATACATAGAAATTCTAGACTCCACTAAAAAAAAAAAAAAAACAAAAAAAAAACCCTGTTATAAATAATCAAAAGGTTCAGCAAAAGTTGCAGGATACAAGATTAATACATTTAAAAAATACATTTCTTCACAGTTGTAATGAACAACCAAGAAAACAGTTCAACTTATAACAGTATCAGAAATAAAACTGGAATTTAACAAAAGTACAAAATGTATACTCTGAAAACTATAAACCATTGATGAAAGAAGTTAAAGATTAAATAACCAGAAATACCTCCCATGTGCATGGACCAAAAGATGAAATATTGTTAAGCAGGCAACAGTCCCCAAAGTGATCTACAGATTCAATGCAATTCCCATCAGAATACCATCTGGCTTCTTTGTAGAAATTGACAAACTGATTATAAAATTCACATGGAATTGCAAGTGTCCCTAAAGAGTCAATACAATTTCGAAAAATAACAAAGTTGCAGGACTCACATTTCTTGATTTCAAAAGTTATTACAAATCCAAAGTACTCAAGACACTGTGGTACTGATATAAAGACAGATATACAGATCAACGGAATAGAATTGAAAGTCCTGAAATAAATCCATGTTCTATGGTCAACTAATTTTTGACATGGGTGCCAAGAACATTCAATGGAGAAAGGAGAGTCTTTTCAACAAATGGTGTTTGATGAACCCTTACCTAACACCATATAAAAATTAACCCCAAATTCATCAAAGACCTAAATGTAAGAGTAAAAACTATAAAATTATCTTTAAAAAAAACACAAAAAACCTAGGAATCTTAATGACTTTGGATTTGGCAATGAATTCTGACACAATACCAAAAGCAGAAGCAATAAAGGAAAATAGAAAACTCTAGACTTCAAAATCAAAACTTTGGTGCAAAGGCACTATCAAGAAAGTATAAAGGCAATTCACACAATGGGAGACAATATTTTCCTCTTTTTTTTTTTTTTTTTTTAGATGGAGTTTTGCTCTTTCACCCAGGCTGGAGTGCAGTGGCACGATCTCGGCTCACCGCAACCTCTGCCTCCTGGGTTCAAGCAATTCTCCTCCCTCAGCCTCCCGAGTTGCTGGGATTACAGGTACGCGCCACCATGCTTGGCTAATTTTGTATTTTTAGTAGAGATGGGGTTTCTCCATGCCGGTCAGGCTGGTCTCCAACTCCTGACCTCAGGTGATCCACCTGCCTTGGCATCCCAAAGTGCTGGGATTACAGGCATGAGCCACCATGCCCAGCCGGGAGACAATATTCTGAAATCATATATCTGATAAGGAACTTGTATCTAGAATATATAAAGAGACAATTCCATAATGAAAAATAATATAATTTAAAATGGGCAAAAGATCCAAATAAATATTTATCCAAAGATACAAACATGGCCAATAAGAACAAGAAAATATGCTTAATATCACTAGTAATTGGGAAAAACAAAACTGCCGTGAGGTATCACTTCAAACCCACTAGGATAGCTTTAATCATAAAGTCAGATAATGACAAGTACTGGCAATGATCTAGAGACTGGAACCCTCATACCCTACTGATAGAAATGTTAAATGGTACAGCCATTTTGGAAAATAATCTGTAAGTTCCTCAAATGGTTAAACATAGAGATACAATATGACCCAGAAATTCCATTTCTAGGTAATTTCATAAAAATACAAGAGAAATGAAAACATATGTCCACACAAACACTTGTACACAAATGTTTACTGCAGTATTATTCATAATGGTCAGTGGGTGGATAAAACCAAATGTCCTTCAAGTGACAGGATAAACTAAATATTGTATATCCATACAGAGAAATATTATTTGTCCCTAAAAAGGAATGAAGTACTGATCATGCTGTAATACAGGTGAACCTTGAAAACATTATGCTAAAAGAAACCAGTCACAAAAGTCATGATTCTATTTATACGAATTGTCCAGAATAGATAAATCTATAAAGACACAAATTAGTTGTTTAGGATGGAAGGGTTGGGAGGATAAGGGGGTGATGCTTAAAAGATATAGAATTTATTCTGGGGATGATGAAAACATTCTAAAATTGATTGTAGTCATGTCTACACAGCTCTGAATATATTAAAAACCACTGAATTGTACACTTTAAATGGGTGAACTATAGGGTGTATGAGCGAATTTTATATCAATAAAGTTATGTAAAAATTTTATGAAAAAAAAATGGGCTGGGCACAGTGGCTCACACCTGTAATCCCAGCACTTGGGGGGCTGAGCTGGGCGGATCACCTGAGGTCAGGAGTTTGAGACTATACTGGCCGACATGGTGAAACCCTGTCTCTACTAAAAATACAAAAATTAGCCGGGTGTGGTGGCAGGCGCCTATAATTAATCCCAGCTACTCGGAAGGCTGAGGCAGGAGAATCGCTTGAACCCGGGAAGTAGACGTTGCAGTGAGCCGAGATCACACCGTTGCACTCCAGCCTGGGCAGCAGAGTGAAACTCCATCTCGTTGGGGGGGGCGGGGGGGGAGGGCAGAAAAAAGAAAGAAAAAATATATTTTTAAAGTGTAAGGAACAAGGCAGAGGACCACTCAAATTTCATTCCTAAAATAGCCTAACTTAATTCCCTTTCTAATATTATATATCAACTTCTAGGCTATGAAGGTAATGAGGTTCTTGTGACCATCATTCCCAGCCAATTACTTGGTTTTAACTCCTGTTTTATGCCTTCCAAATGGACACAGTTGAAAAATAGAGCATTTACCTTCCTTCTCCTTCCCTACAATTAGGACAGGAACAGGCAACTCTTCGAAGCCTCTTGCCAGGTTGTACCTCTTGATCAGAAGTTTGCTGGCCTTGCTGCAAATGCACTTGTGTGAGTTGGTCAGGACTAACAGCACCTATCGTGGCATTAGCAATTCCTCCAACTGCTACAGTTACAGGAGCTATAGTAGCTTGCTGGACTTTTACTCCATCTTGTCCTTGCTGCTGACCTAAAAAGGAAGAAAAAAAAAAAAAGAAGTATTGTAATGTTTTCTACATCTAAAGAAAGGATTAAAAAAAATTCCATGTGCATAAATTTTTTCTAACAATCTGTAAAGTATAAAAACTAAGGGGTTAATGGCTTATACTATGTCAATCCTTCTAAAATACAGTATTCTTACTTTAGTGGCTCAGGTTGCCTATGTATCTAGATGACGGAACTATATACATAAATCATTTAACCCACTTTGGGACTTAATTTCTCTCTCCATCTATAAAATGAAGATAATAATACTTGCTACTTACCTACTCACTAAAATACTATGAGGATACACGAGTCTAAAAGCATTTTGAGATCCTAAGATAAAAGACGTTATATAAACACAAAGCTTTATTACCATTTCCACAGTAAGCAACATATCTCATCACAACAAGAAAATACAGGAGTGAAAAGTCACTAAACAAAGGATTAAGTTTTATGGACATCTTGCATTCCTAAATAGTTTAAATAAACATCTCTTTATTGATTTGACTTTTTTAATTGTATACATAAAGTGGTTTTTAAAATGCAAAACCACCCAAGATTACTACATACTGTCACTGTAATCATAAAAAGACATTTAAGATATTATTACTTTATTCACTCAAGTTATATAGCTTACACTTCATTGCTCAGATTAGTATATATACCAGCGTGGCTTCTTCACTTTGGGAAAAATATACTAAATAATGCACAATAAAACAACAAAAAAATGTATTTGCATGGCTTAACATTATCCTGAAATACAATGCCTTTTTTTTTTTTTTTTTTTTTTGAGAAGGAGTCTTGCTCTGTCACCCAGGCTGGAGTGCAGTAGCACGACCTCAGCTCACTGCAACCTCTACCTCCTGAATTCAAGCAATTCTCCTGCTTCAGCCTCCCTAGTAGCTGGGATAACAGGTGCGTGCCAACATGCCCAGCTAGTTTTTTTTGTATTTTTAGTAAAGACAGGGTTTCGCAATGTTTGCCAGGCTAGTCTCAAACTCCTCACCTCAGGTGATTCACCTGCTTCGGCCTCCCAAAGTGCTGGTATTACAGGTGTGAGCCACCACGCCCAGCCTATGATGCCTTATAATTACCTTTTCTTTCACACAGTTCTACATTCTCTCCGTCAGATGTGGGAATAACAAGTATGTGAATGGACTGAAAAGAAAATACCAATTTATGAAAGAATGTTTCCACCTCAGAAAATTGATGTAAGTATTAAGTAAGTTAATTTATAAATCCTCTACCACAGTGCCGGCACAGAATTGCTCATTACATAGTAGCTACTGTTACTAATTCATCTCTGTTGAGTTCAGGGGCAATACAAGAATAAAATAAGTCACTTTGGGAGGTCAAGACGGAGGATCACAAAGTCAGGAGATCGAGATCATCCTGGTTAACATGGTGAAACCCCGTCTCTACTAAAAATACAAAAAAATTAGTTGGGCATGGTGGCGGGCACCTGTAGTCCCAGCTACTCGCTATTCACAAGGCTGAGGCAGGAGAATAGCGTGAACCCGGGAGGCAGAGCTTACAGTGAGCCGAGATCATGCAGCCTGGGCGACAGAGCGAGACTTCATCCCAAAAAAAAAAAAAAAAAAAAAAAAGAATAAAATATGCTAGCAGAAATAAACATGACAGTCCTGCATATAAAATGGTTTCTTTCAGGCTGGGCATGGTGGCTCATGCCTGTAATCCCAGCATTTTCGGAGGCTGAGGTGGGTGAATCACGAGGTCAAGAGATGGAGACCATCCTAGCTAACACAGTGAAACCCCATCTCTACTAAAAAGTCCAGTGATTGCACCACTGCACTTCAACAAAAAATTAGCCAGGTGTGGTTGCACACGCCTGTAGTCCCAGCTACTTGGGAGGCTGAGACAGGAGAATCGCTTGAACCCGGGAGGCAGAGGTTTCAGTGAGTCGAAATTGTGCCACTGCACTCCAGCCTGGGAGACAAGAGCGAGACTCTGTCTCAAAAAAAAAAAAAAAAAAAAAAAAGGCGGGGGTGGGGGTGGTTATTTCAAAGCTGCATATGTAGTACCTTAAAAGTACGGGGCAACCAACAAGAAGCAATAAAAATTACCAAGTAAGAAAATAGTACACATTTTCTAAACAAAATTAAACCTCTGACTCTCCCAGCCAAAGTCAATCTCACCGTCCTCTGCATATCCACAGCACCCTTAATTCCTTTTGGTAGCACCCATAACTAAGATACACATTAAAAAATACATTTTGTCACTGTTTCAGTAAGGATACAAACCCTCTACTAAAGTTTACATTTTTGTACACCTTTGAATTAGCATGGTGTGGTAAGTAAAGCAATGCAAGTGAAGTCAGAGTTGTAAATTTATGACTGTGCACTCAGGGATCCTCAGTTTCCTCAACTCTAAAAGAGTAACACTGACTTCCGTAAAATTTCTGCTCCCTATCTACTTTAAAGAGCTGTTTCTGAGGATCAAGTTGATTTTCCAGGGGTAAAGGCTATATAAATTATAAAGCAATACATAAACAAAAGGTATAATTATTTTGTTTCAGTGTTTTTGAACACGTATTTAGGAAAACCAGATGCCTTAAGGATGACCGTGGCTACACAATCTATTCAAACTACTTGTGTACCAAGAAGCACAATGATACACACACTTTCTGTTTACTACAAAAACATCCGCATTTCTAGAAATGAGAGCACTGTCTGAACAAGCACTCTACAAAATCTACAGCATGGTCCCTATGGAGCTGCAGGTATTTTAAGTTGGCAAATACCCTTCACATCCCCTGAAGACACAGGTATTTTCGGCCACAATTTTTTGACTACTTTTCTCATAACATTTATATAACCGTCATTACTTTAAAGGTCGCAATACTTAAGATGACCTTTATTTTGGTAAAGAACTGCTAGATGAGTTTCAAGTCAAAGCTAAGTTGGGGGGTGAGGGGTGGGGAAGAACTGCTAGAGATTCCTGATCCCTCTGGTCCCTTGACCATGTCCTTGACATACTCCTCAAGCCTCCATATTGTGAGCCTTTCCTTGTTCAATGCCTAAACAACTTGGAAAGTTATTTCAATGAATAATAGAGGCAAATTATATTTGAGTTTGTATACTGAAGCCTGTTAATTGACTTCATCTAGATGTTTCACAGACAGCTAAGTTCAACAATTACTTTATTTCCACTGCCATCAGTAAGCCACCAAACTCCAGAGCAAGACCTCTGAGGCCCCACTTAAGTTTAATTCCATTGCCTTCTCAGACCTCATCTCTTTTAGTCTCTCCCTTGCTCACTCTGCACTTGATATACTGGCCTCTCTTCTGGCCCTCAAACAAATCAAGCTCATTTCCTTCTTAGGGACTTTGCACATACTCTCCAGTCTAAGTGGGGATGCCTTTGCACACAGGTCTTTACATAGTTGATTCCTTTGTAATATTCTGGTCTAAGTTCAAATCTCTCCTCTTTAGAAATGCCATTCCTGACCTTCCCATCTAAAAGTGGTTCCCCTCAGTATATCACTGTATCACCACCTAGTTTTGTCTTGTCTTACTTTGTCCTTTTATAATTTGGTCTTCAACTCACTTCTGAAGGTAAAGTGCCATGAAAGTAGGGATCTTGCCTATTGTGTTCACTGCTTATCACTAGTATAACAGTGCCTAATAACTCAATAACAATGCCACTCAATAACATATGTTTAATAAATCAAAGTTTAAAAATAAAAAATGATTTCATCTTCCAGTCTTGCTTCTGCTAATGTCCCTGTTTCAGTAAATGCTACTCCCACTCTCCGTATTATCCACACTGAAAACCTTAAAATGTCATCTTTTAGGCTACTTCTTTACTCATTACATCCAGTGATGACCGAATTATGGAGACACTACTGCATACTAATAGCTCTTACACTAATCTGTTTCCAAGCAAGATTATCATCTTGATCCAAGTCCTTGTTAATCTGTGCCTCTACCAACCTAAATGAAGCTTTCCCTCCTTTCTCATCCTTCAAACTGCTGCCAGAAAAATAAAAAAGTCGTGTTCTGATCGTCTCACTTTCATGCTCAGTAACATTTAATCATTCCTCCACTGACCAAAGTCTGGCATTCAAAGCACTCTACCACAAGGACTTACTTAGCTCCTGGTTCACAGTCTTTCTCCTAATGACCGATTAAATCTATTGTGCATTTTCTCAGTGACCATTACAGGACTGCTCTGCTGCATTTGACACCACATGCCACTCCATCCTTATCCAACATTTACTCTGTGAGCTAACTTCCCACATTTCAGAAACCCCTTCTTCTCTGTCAGCTCCTTTTTGTTTTTTTTTTGTTTGTTTGTTTGTTTGTTTTTTTAAGAGATAGGGGTCTTACTCTGCTGCTCAGACTAGCCTTGAACTCTTGGGCTCAAGCAATTCTCCTGCCTTGGACTTCCAAGTAGCTGAGATTACAGGTGTGCACCACCATGTATGGCCTTAGCAATTTTTTAAAATCAGCACTTAAATCTAAACTTATGTCACATTCTTAAAAGATATATCAGCCAGGTGCGGTGGCTCACACCTGTAATCCCCACACTTTGGGAGGCAGAGGCAGGAGGACTGCTTGAGCCCAGGAGTTCAAGACCAACCGAGGCAATATAGTGAGACCCCATCTCTTAAAAAAATTAAAAAATTAATCGGGCATGGTGGCATGTGCCTGTAGTCCCAGCTACTCATGAGACTGAGGTGCTGAGGTGAAAGGATCGCTTGAGCCCTGGGGATCAAGACTTCAGTGAGCCGTGATTGCACCACTGCACTTCAACTTTAGCCTGGGTGACAGAGCAAGACCCTCTCAAAAACAAACAAACAAACAAACACCCTCTACTCTTCCTAGGCTACTCTCCAGGGATCTGACTTCTCATTCTCACTCTCTTTTTGGGGGACCTTATCTACTTTCGTAACTTTTACTGCTATGCATAAGGTGATTATCTCGCAGATCTGTGCCTTCTACTCAGAAGTGTCATACTCCTACT